GAACAACCAATTACTAAGAGTCCCTTTACACCAACTCTGGCGGCACAAAGCAACAAGCTGCAGCCTTCCAAGGCTCCAGTATCCTACACCACTCCAGGGGATATCTTCATCCTCTTGGAGCCGCAATCTCCCCTGTTGTTAGGACCAACTTTCAACAGGGAGATTCTAACACCAGGGAAAAGCCTATCTCCTAATCCATCCATTAGCTGCAGCTTCCCGACATCGGTACTGACAGCACCAGCGATTGAACCAGATCTGACCACCTCATCATCGGGAGAGTCAGACATACTGATGGAACCATCTTTCTCTCCACCATAGAATCATAGAATATCAGGGTTGGAAGGGACCTCAGGAGGTCATCTAGTCCAACCCCCTGCTCAAAGCAGGACCAATTCCCAACTAAATCATCCCAGCCAGGGCTTTGTCAAGTCTGACCTTAAAAACCTCTAAGGAAGGAGATTCCACCACCTCCATAGGTAACCCATTTCAGTTCTTCACCACCCTCCTAGTGAAAAAGTTTTTCCTAATATCCAACCTAAACCTCCCCCACTGCAACTTGAGACCATTACTCCTTGTTCTGTCATCAAGTATCACCGAGAACAGTCTAGATCCATCCACTTTGGAACCCCCTTTCAGGTAGTTGAAAGCAGCTATCAAATCTCCCCTCATTCTTCTCTTCTGGAGACTAAACAATCCCAGTTCCCTCAGCCTCTCCTCATAAGTCATGTGCTCCAGACCCCTAATCATTTTTGTTGCCCTCTGCTGGACTCTTTCCAATTTTTCCACATCCTTCTTGTAGTGTGAGGCCCAAAACTGGACACAGTATTCCAGATGAGGCCTCACCAATGTCGAATAGAGGGGAATGATCACGTCCCTCGATCTGCTGGCAGTGCCCCTACTTATACAGCCCAAAATGCTGTTAGCCTTCTTGTCAACAAGGACACATTGAGAACATTAGCTTTTTCCACATCCTCTGTCACTAGGTTGCCTCCCTCATTCAGTAAGGGGCCCACATTTTCCTTGACTTTCTTCTTGTTGCTAACATACTTGAAGAAACCCTTCTTGTTACTCTTAATATCTCTTGCCAGCTGCAACTCCAAGTGTGATTTGGCCTTCCTGATTTCACTCCTGCATGCCTGAGAAATATTTTTATACTCCTCCCTGGTCATTTGTCCAATCTTGCACTTCTTGTAAGCTTCTTTTTTGCGTTTAAGATCAGCAAGGATTTCATTGTTAAGCCAAGCTGGTCACCTGGCATATTTACTATTCTTTCTACACATCGGGATGTTTTTTTCCTGCAACCTCAATAAGGACTCTTTAAAATTAGGGGGGAGGGATAGTTCAGTAGGGGGGAGGGATAGCTCAGTGGTTTGAGCATTGGCCTGCTAAACCCAGGGTTGTGAGCTCAATCCTTGAGGGGGCCACTTAGGGATCTGGGGCAAAATCAGTACTTGGTCCTGCTAGTGAAGGCAGGGGGCTGGACTCGATGACCTTTCAAGGTCCCTTCCAGTTCTAGGAGATGGGATATCTCCATTAATTAAATTAATTAAAATACAGCCAACTCTCCTGGACTCCTTTCCCCCTCATGTTATTCTCCCAGGGGATCCTGCCCATCAGTTCCCCGAGGGAGTCAAAGTCTGCTTTTCTGAAGTCCAGGGTCCGTATTCTGCTGCTCTCCTTTCTTCCTTGTGTCGGGATCCTGAACTCGACCATCTCATGGTCACTGCTGCCCAGGTTCCCATCCACTTTTGCTTCCCCTACTTATTCTTCTCGGTTTGTGAGCAGCAGGTCAAGAAGAGCTCTGCCCCTAGTTGGTTCCTCCAGCACTTGCACCAGAAAATTGTCCCCTACACTTTCAAAAAATTCCTGGATTGTCTGTGCACCGCTGTATTGCTCTCCCAGCAGATATTAGGGTGATTGAAGTCTCCCATGAGAACCAGGGCCTGCAATCTAGTAACTTCTGCTAGTTGCCGGAAGAAAGCCTTGTCCACCTCATCCCCCTGGTCTGGTGGTCTATAGCAGATTCCCACCATGACATCACCCTTGTTACTCACACTTCTAATCTTAATCCAGAGACTCTCAGGTTTTTCTGCAGTTTCATACCGGAGCTCTGAGCAGTCATACTACTCTCTTACATACAATGCAACTCCCCCATCTTTTCTGCCCTGCCTGTCCTTCCTGAACAGTTTATATCCATCCATGACAGTACTCCAGTCATGTGAGTTATCCCACCAAGTCTCTGTTATTCCAATCACATCATAGTTCCTTGACTGTGCCAGGACTTCCAGTTCTCCCTGCTTGTTTCCCAGGCTTCTTGCATTTATGTATAGGCACTTAAGATGACTCGCTGATTGTCCGGCTTTCTCAGTATGAGACAGGAGTCCTCCCCTCTTGCCCTCTCCTGCTCGTGCTTCCTCCTGGTATCTCATTTCCCCACTTACCTCAGGGCTTTGGTCTCCTTCCCCCGGTGAACCTAGCTTAAAGCCCTCGTCACTAGGTTAGCCAGCCTGCCTGCGAAGATGCTCTTCCCTCTCTTCGTTAGGTGGAGCCCATCTCTACCTAGCACTGCTCCTTCTTGGAACACCATCCCATGGTCGAAGAATCCAAAGCCTTCTCTCCAACACCACCTGCGTAGCCATTCGTTGACTTCCACAATTCAACGGTCTCTACCCAGGCCTTTTCCTTGCACAGGGAGGATGGACAAGAACACAACTAGTGCCTCGAACTCCTTTATCCTTCTTCCCAGAGCCACGTAGTCTGCAGTGATCCGCTCAAGGTCATTCTTGGCAGTATCATTGGTGCCCATGTGGAGAAGCAGGGAGTTCAGCCCAGAAGGGGGATTGAGAATCTTCTTCTACCAGTCTCATCCATCCAAGTGGCAACCTCATCCTCAGAAACAATGTCTTGGGAATCGCAACTTACATTTGAGCCCCTCAAATTGGCCTTACTGGGACTATGGGACCTGTATGAATGGCATTCAGAATAGGTAGTCTTTCCACCTCCAAGAGGCCAATCAGAACTTCCTGAGCTTACAGAAGGGGAAAAAGATGAACTGGATCCTTGGTGCCACAAATACCAGCAAATATTTCTCCTTTCTCCCCCAATGGGGCATTTGTTCCTGCCTCGCCATCTCCTTCAGATGACCACAGACTGTTTCAAGAGCTGCTTCAGAGAGTAGCAGAAGAGCTCCAAATCCCTTTAGATGAGGTCCAGGGCTCTCAACACAAGCTTGTGTACATTCTACCACCTACGGGATCTAGCCAAACATCACTCCCAGTCAATGCGGCCATACTGGAACCTGCAAGAACTGTGTGGAATACACTAGCAACCTTTGCTTCTACCCCTAAGAAGGCAGAAAAGCAGTATTTTGTCCCAGCTAAGGGAGCAGAGTTCTTGTTCTCCAATCCTGTACCAAACTCCCTAGTCATCCAACCAGCCACGGAAAAGTCGAGACAACAATATGCAAGAGCTGCCTTTGCGGATAAGGAAGCCAAGAGTTTAGACCTTATGGTGAGAATTATATTTACTTCCACTAGTCTCCAATTTAGAATTTCCAACTAACAGGCCCTCATGGCAAACGGACAAGTTACCTATAAATGGGCACTCACCTCTTGAGTGGCTGGGTGCTGTATCACAGTTCTTTTCTTGGCCCTGGTCCCACCCTGGGGGCTGCCAGCTAAATCACAAAGTCCAAATGAACCCCTTCTGGGGTATTAGTCTGTTTGCCTTGTGACAGTCTTAAATCCCAGTTCTAGGCCTTTTAAATTCAGCCTTTTGTTCGGGCTCCCATATAAGCCCTCTCCCCTTCTTGGCATTTATGACACTTTACCCATGGCTGATAGGAGAATCAAGGCCCACCCACTACTCCAGGTTCCAAGCCAGGGATCCTATACACAGCAGTCCACGTTCTGCTTACTTGAATCCTTCGCTGATATTTCCCTGGGCTTCTTCATACCGGGCCCTTTTAACTCTAGCCCTCTCTCAGGGCCAGTATCTTCTGGTTCTTCTCTCTCTACAATCCCAGCTATGTAAGTTCAGCCAGCTATAAATCTGTCTAATATTTGGCTCCTTTGGCCTGAGAGGAGAACCCTCCTTCACTCCTCTGGTCCCAGACAGAAACTGAACTGCTAAGGCCAGGCAGCTCCTTTTTTTATGGTCCAGCAGGACCCTGATTAAGTATTTCTAGCTCTTCTGGCCCTTTGAGGACCAGGTCTCTTGTGGTTTTCAAAATGGCTGCTCTGAAGAGTCCTCTCTAAGCAAATCTGGAGGACCCATCTTCATTGCTCTTTTCTTCTCAACCGGTTGCTTCTTTGGGCACAGTGAGGAAGTACCACAGGGCCCCCAGGATGGAGCCGTAAAGGCCAAATTCACTCCATCACATTACTCCAGGAGAATAGGGTTCAATTTCAAACCCATGATTTTTATTTGCAAATTTGATATTTTGCTAATATATTGGTTATTTGAAATTACATGATTGCATTTCTTACTCTGAAATACATAAAGTACAGAATAAACTTTACATGGATGAATATCCTAACACTTCTTTGATGATCCATTATTCATACTGTATGGCTTTAGAATATCAGTAATAAAAAGTGAAAGATTATATACTGTTTGGCAACTAAGCTATATTTTGTATTAAAAAATTATTCTTTAAAGATACCATCATCACAGGATTTTCACTCATGAGTCTTGCCTCCAGTGCAACCCAAGCAGGTCCTGTCTTGTACTGGCAGATCGAGACCCTAGAGTGAGAATCATCCTTTGAGATGATATCTTCAAAGAAGCAGAATTACATGTAAGTATTTTTTCTTTTTCCCGTGTTACTATAGATCTGAAGAGATACATTGCAATGGATCTTATCAGACTACAACTTTTAAAGTAAACAAAACTCTAAGATAGATAAAGTGTACTGAACCTGCATATTCCACTGTTGTAAAAATATATCAATATACACGTTGATGGTATTTTAGCTGATCTTCTTATTTCTGTGCTTTCAGAAACTGGCACCTGGAGTTAGTCAGTTTGCTTACACCTGTGTACAAGACCACTCTATATGGACTAACCAACAGTTTTGGGAAACCACATTTTATAGTGATGTGCAAAATCAAGTTCGTTCCCTCTATCTCACAGCTAGGGAAGACAATCATACAATACGTTTGAAGCAAAAGGTAAGAGAACATATAAAATAAATGAAGTGCAAAAAAACTGTTACTCCAGTATAGTGGCTGACATTTTACATGCAACAAAAGTCATGAAGATGTAAGTTTATTGCTCTCACCACTTCTACAAATTTAGTGTTTTCTTGTTGCTATTTCCACATTAAATAGATATATGTTATTAACTTTGTTCCATAATCTACATCTGAAATTTATCTAAGTTATGGGGGGAAAGTTGTGAAATATAACTTGTGGACATACTTTACAATATATTGCCCTTGATTTATGTGCAGATTAATGACAAATAATAAAACTTTAATTTTTTTTTACTCCCTGATACCCAAAGGTCTCCATCACAGGGAGTTATGTCCGGGTATGAAGGAAAGTTCTGAATTTCATTGCTGTTTCAACTTTAACATTCCACTAACATATATTTTCCTTTAATTTCCTAAGCAAAAAAAGGTCCTTTTTAGTGAATTTATAGTATGCAACCTTTATATTGCATTCCAGAGACATTTTGCTAAGCAGGAAAACAGGTTTTAGCCTTCTCGATTGATCAGCACTCAGCTCCCTTAGCTTCAGATCATTTATAGCTCTCAAACAACATAATTCACTGTCCCAGCTGGGGGAAAGTGTTTCTGTAATGGAAGAATGGGTGGATGATGTGTGCATTCAGAAAATACTAAAATAAGAATGTTCCACCAAGCTGTGTATCTGCATGCCAGGTATGATCTACTGGGCCATCCCTATCCTCTTCTGTTATGTGAACTCCCCAGAACCACCATCCCTAATCATGTGATTTGAGAGAGAAGTACTACCAGGGACGTATGATGAGAAGAGAGAGAGCTGCAGAGTATAGCTCCACATAACCATATGGGCTTGGGAAGAATGAGATGCAGAGAAGGCACCCCCAGTCATGTGATTTGTCAGGGGGATGGGAAAAGTTGCTGAATGAAGAAGTCCCTTGTCCACTTGCAGTGTGTGGGAAGTTGCAGAGCGAAGGAAGGTGCTGTAGGGGGGGGAGGCACATGCAGACACCCATATTTACATTCCCAAATAATGCATAATTGTACTGAAAATTACTTGGAAAAATTTTTCCACATAGAATACATCTCTGCTATTTTAATTCTTTATCCTCAGCTAAATGAGGATACGTGATATCAGCTACCAGATGTCTTTATTTGAATTTCCTCAGGCTATCATATAATTAGCCTACGTGCCATCTACTGAGTTTACAGAGAGCAAATGCTTGAATTGGAATCCAGCGTGTGAAAACATGAACATTTAAGCTGTTCTATAAATTCTTCTTCGAGTGCTTGTTCACGTCCTTTCCAACCAAGTGTGTGTGCGCCGCGTGCACGCCAGCCGGAAGATTTTTCCCTTAGCAGCGTCCGTAAGGTTGGCCCGGGCACCCCTGGAGTCGCGCCTTCATGGCGCCCAATATAGTGCCCTGCTGACGCCTAACCCTTCAGTTCCTTCTTACCGCCAGTGATGACTAGCTGGAACATCGCTTGCTCTTGTGACAAGTGCTTTGGCAGTGTCTTCTGTAGTTTTCGTGTACATATGGTGTAAATAGTTCTTTAGTTGGTTAGTAGTTAGATACAGTTTTAATAGTTTAGCTTTGTTTGGGGGGCTTTCCCACTGACAACATTTTCCCCACCTCTGGGGTATGTCCAAATCTCCAGGGTTTAAGCTCTGTGAGAAGTGGCAAATTTATGCCCAGGAGTGACCCTCACTCTTCCTGTCTGCGGTGCCTCAGAGAGAGCCACCAGAGAGAAAGGTGCAGGATCTGTAAGAGTTTCCAACCCAGAACCCTTGAAGGCCGGGAGCAGAAACTTAAAATCCTGTTAATGGAGGCGGTGCTACGACCACACTCCGACCCCGGATCCACCAACCTGCGCCGAGTACCTCTTCGTCAGTACGCAGTGCTCCGGCGCCGATGGTGCGGAACTGGTGCCAGCTAAGGACTCCAAGGCCCCTCAGCACTGTCTTGGCTCGGGCCATAAGAAGCCATCCTCGGTGTGGCACCGCTCTCAATCCCCAGGGCCGCTAAAAAAGTAGAGGCTGGGGTCCAGTCGAGTCCGAACCCCCCACCGTCCCTGGATCACCAAGGCAACTACTTCTACTTCCCATCGACACTGGAGGTGTTTGAGGTGGCCAAGTGCCAATAAAACCAGGAGGGACAAGTCGCCGGTGACTGCGTGGCCCCACTTCCAATCTAGGAGCAAACCAGTACTGATGGTGCGCTGATCTGCACCTCCGGCACACCTCTCCCTGGCATGGCCCGTACACAGAGGCAGACTCCTATCGCTTCAGCAGGTCCAGAAGCAGGAGATCCGGATCCCACCAGAGCCACCAGCCCTACCTGGCACCGTGGCTGCAGCAGTGGCAGCCATCATCTCAATGGGCGTACCATCAGGGTCAGGTCCAAGGTCCCGGTTGGTGTCTTCGGCGTCCTTTGTTCCACCTACAGTGGCACCACCGACCGAAGTGCTGGCCCCGCTGTTACAAACAACAGCTCCGATGGCTTCAGCTCCGACTCCACCAGCATCGACGAGGTCGTCATCACCGGATCTAGCAGCTCCCGCACCAACCACGGCACCAAGACTCCCACCTCCAGTGGCCCCGGCACCGCATCCCATCGAATACTGCGTGCCAAGAGACCCAAAGGGTGCTGAAGGCAGTGAGCAAGGTCCGCTCCAGTTATCTCCTCATCATCCTTGCCAGATAAAGCGGTCGCGGGGGCATCAGCGGCACCAGCTTTGGAGGATAATCTGGTTCTCCAGAAGCTCCTGTGCTGGGCTGCCCAAAGCCTGGGCATACAGGTGGTGGAGGAGTCGGACCCAGTCGTGGATATCCTCGCACCCTCGGGTCCATCACGGGTAGCCCTGCCACTGATAAAGACAGTAGTTGATACCACTAAATCCCTGTGGCAGACCCCTGCTTCTCTGGCCCCTGTGGCCAAGAGAAACAAAAGATGCTATTTCATACCATCTATGGGGTATGAACACTTATATACCCACCCACGCCCTGACTCGGTGGTGATTGATGCAGCCAATCAGCAGGAACGTCAGGGCTTCCAAGGTCCCATCCCAAAAAATAAGGAGGCGACGAAACTCGACCTGTTTGGCAGGAAGGTCTATTCAACAGGGGCCTACAGCTCCACATCGCAAACCAGCAGACCATCATAAGCATATATGCGCACAATACCTGCACTGCGATGGCCAAGTTTGTGGAGCTCCTGCCACAAGACTCTTGCATGGAGTTCTCCACACTAGAGGAGGAGGGAAAGCTGATCTTCTGGGCTTCCCTACAGGCGGCTTTTGGACGCGGCAGATGCAGCCTTACGCACACTGGCCACGGGGGTGGTAATGAGGCAGGTCTCCTGGTTCCAGGTCTCTGGACTACCACATGAGGTCCAACAAACGATCCAGGACCTCCACTTCGAGTGCTCAACCCTGTTTTCTGATCAAATGGACAAGAGACTTCATAATCTGAAGGACTCAAGGGCCACCGTCTGATCTCTGGGGCTTCACACACCAGCTACTCAGCGTAGGCATTTCAGACTTCAGCCTACCCCTAGGTTCTATCAGATTCAGAACCACCAGGACGCTCCTCATAGGAGGAATAGGAGCAGTAGGGAGGAGGCAGCACCCCTCCTCGGGGCAGAGTCTCTGGTCAGCCCAAGCCTTCGGCCGGCCCCAGACCCCCCCCCTTTCCCCACCTTTTGAAGGTGCGGTCGAGGACAGCCCACCAGTTCAGAATCTGGAGCTATCCCCTCTTACCTTCTCATCCCATCTATCCCCTTTCTACCGTGCTTGGTCCCATATCACCTCAGACTGTTGGGTGCTCTGCACAGTAGAGAGGGGATATTCCATCCAATTCTGTGCCCTCCCACCCCTCTACCCCCCTTCCTTGTCCCTCTTCAGGGACCCCTCTCACAAGCAACTTCTAATTCAGGAAGTGCACTCCCTCCTCTCGGTAAGGACAGTGGAAGAGGTTCCTCGGAGGCAAGGGTTTCTACTCTCAGTATTTCCTAATACCGAAAGCCAAGGGTGGCCTCAGACTCATCCTGGACCTGCAGCAGTTCAACATGTTCGTAAAGAAACTCAAATGCCTCATGGTCTCGCTGAGTTCCATTATCTCCTCATTGGATCCAGGAGACTGGTACGCTGCCCTCTATTTAAAGACACTTGTTTACACATAGCAATAATTCCTCCTCACAGACGTTACCTCAGATTTGTGGTGAACAGCAGCCACTATCAGTTTACCGTCCTCCCTTTTGGCCTGTCAGCAGCACCTTGCGTTTTCACCAAATGCATGGCAGTCGTCGCAGTGTTCCTGTGCAAGCGCCGGATTCAGGTTTTCCCTTAGCTCAACAACTGGCTGATCAAAGGCCACTCCAGATCCCAAGTGGAGGACCAGGTCGGCTTCATAAGAAGGACCTTCCTTGAACTAGGTCTCCTTTTCAACGAGGCCAAATCCACTCTGTCCCCGGTGCAGAGGATAGAGTTTATAGGCACGGTGCTGAACTCAACCTAAGCCAGGACGAACCTCCCGGAAACCAGGTTTCAGTCTCTAGGGGACATCATACGAGGCCTCAGACAGTTCCCTACGACTACAGCAAGGAACTGCCTGAACCTGCTGCGGCACATGGCTGCGTGCACCTACGTAATACAGCATTCCAGACTCAGACTTCGCCCACTTCAGTCATGGCCGGCATCGATTTATCGACCGGCCTGGGACTCTCTGGACAGCCCTACCCTGCCCTGTACTGGACTCCCTCCTTTGGTGGCTCAACCCACAGGTGGTTTGTGTGGGAGTACCTTTCACCAGCTCCCAGCCATCCCTTTTATTAGTGACAGATGCCTCGCATGTGGGCTGGGGGGACATTTGGGAGACCTCAGGGCCTCTAGTCTCAGGCAGACCTCGCTCAGCATATCAACGTCAGAGAGCTGAGAGCAGTGCGTCTGGCATGCCAGGTTTTCAGAACATCAGTCCTCATGGACAACATTACGGCGATGTTTTATATCAACAGATAGGGGGTGCATGCTCCTCTCCCCTGTGCCTGGAAGCCCTCATGCTGTAGGACTTGTGTAGAGCACTCGATACACCCGCAGGCTTCATACCTTCCTGGGGTGCAGAACGAGCTGGCGGACAGCCTCAGCCAAACTTTTCACAGCCACGAGTGGTCCCTCCGGCCGGACGTAGTGAGCTCAATTTTTCATCTCTGGGGTTTTCCCCAGATAGACCTGTTCGCCACACGCAGCAACAGGAAGTGTCAACTATTTTTCTCCTTTGTAAATCACAGTCCGGGTTCCATCGTGGATTCCTTCCTTCTTCTGTGGGGGGACCATCTCCTCTACACCTTCCCATCAATACCGCTGGTCCACAGGGTGCTCCTCAAGGTCCACAGAGACTGGGACTGGGTCATATTGATAGCTCCAGCATGGCCATGCCAGCACTGGTTCACATCACTCCCAGAAATGTCTGTGGTGACCCCACTCACCTTGCCGTTGGTCCCGGACCTGATCACGCAGGATCACAGCCGCCTCCGGCACCCAAAGCTAGAGTCACTCCACCTCACAGCTTGGATGTTCCATGGATAATGCTATGGAACTGTCCTGTTCTGATCAAGTTCTCCTTGGCAGTAGGAAGCCCTCTACAATGGCAACGTACCTTGCCAAGTGGAAGAGGTTCTCTCTCTGGTCGGAGCAGCAGCAGCATCAGTCGCCGACGCTCGCCCCAGTCCCTTTCATACTGGACTACCTCTTCCATCTTAAACAACAGGCTCTGTCATTCTCGTCAATAAGGGTCCACTTGGCCACCATCTCCATCTTCCATCTGGGCGCAGACGGCTTCATGGTCTTCGTGAACCCCATGGTTACCAGTTTCCTCAAAGGCTCGACAGGCTCTACCCGCAAACTCATCAGCCTGCCCCAGCCTAGGACCTTAACCTGGTCCTCACCAGACTTACGGGCCCCCCATTTGAGCCAATGGTGATGTGCTCCCTGCTTTATCTCTGTGACGGGTTGGATCACAGAAACCCCCTTGGGAGCTGCCACCCGATGTGCAAAGACTACCCCTGCTCCTGTTTTCCCTGCCAGCTCAGGACTCCAGCACCCTGTCTTGCTGAGCCAGACACTCCCGTTTGGCTCCAGACACAGATCCAGGGTCCGAATCACTTGTCCCAAAGCTGCAAGTTTA